GGGGGGGAGCCCCAGGAAAATCGGAAATGAAATGTGTCTGAATGACAGCAAAATGTCCCTTAGGGTCATCGTCCTGTGTGGTTACCTGTAGCAGCTGTCGAAATGTCATTTTGTTGCAGAATCATTTTTAGGGTTTCCTGCGCAGTCCTGGCAATCCCTGGGACGTCATAGCCACTCCTAAAAAAGATTTCAAACGCACTAGTATACAATACTTATTATTTTTAAAAATTAGTATGATTTTATTTTATAGTAAAAATCCCCTCTCTGTTCAGACTAGAGTACCCCGGCCTGGGCCGGGTCTTAGAGGATTGTCTTCAAATGGCCCTGCCCAGCAGCTGTGGAAGCTGGTACCCATGAGGAGCTGCTGTTCCCCAGGGCATAGGCTTAAGAGTAGGAGGTCTCACTGGGCGGCTCTGGGCAGAGGAGTCCCATCTGAGCCTCAGTTTCCCTGTCTGTGTGGTAGAGCCCTGGGCTCCTGACCCTGAGCTCCTACGGGTGGGGCAGCCACTGAGACTCAGATCAGGGGGACTTCAGTCTCCTATCCACTTGTCCTCCGAGGGCCAGGGCCCCTTCTCCCCTCGGACCCAGCTCCTCCCACCTTGGTAGGTCAGCTGCAGCGGAGACCAGGCTCAACTCGTGCTGAGTGGTGGGTGTGAAGAGCTGCGGCTCACGGTCTGGGAACAGGGCCAGCCTGGCGCCTCCTACACGCTGGGCGTCCTGCGGAGCCACGGCTGTGCTCCGGCTGCCCGCCAGCACCTTCAGCATGCGATCCACATGCTTCAGAGCATCTAGCTTCCCTGAGGGTCAAGGTGGACCTCTGCATGTTGATGCCCAGGACCCAAGCTCCATTTCTGTCCCTTTTGCTCCCCCAGAGGGGACGTCCTTGGGGACAGCTGGGGGAGCATGCAGGGGGTATAGGAGGTGGGGGTCCTTGCCTCGTGGCATGACTGTTCAACCCAGACTTGTGTTTGGATTTGTTCTTTTTTCATTAAAGTAAACTTGACTCTGCAGCCTGCCGTCGGCCTCTCTTTGGGGGAATTTGAGGAGCTTTGGCAAGGGGGCACCATGATCTGAGCCCACTGCTCTTTGTGGCAGAGACAGGCCAGATTTTCACCAACACAGAAATTCTTACTAGAGTGGGGTTCTGCCATGACCAAAAGTCTAAAATATGGAACATTCGCTCAACTGCTGGGCAGTTTGGACACAGATGTTGGAGGCTGGGAAGATGGTGACCCATGTCATGCCGGGACAAGACACTGGACCAGGGTCACCCTGATGTGCTGGACCTGTGAACCAAGAGAGCCAACTGCCAAGGGGGATGAGAGCTTGCACTCAGGACTTCCCCTCCCCACCCCCCGGAAATGCTTTCCAGCTCCCTGACTGAGAATGTGGTCCCTCTGGGTGGTTGTGAGTTTCAGTTATTCCAACTCATAGCGGCTGAAACAAAGAAGAGCTTATTGGTGCCTATAACTGAGAGGTTGGGACACATGACCTTTAGGCAGGGCTGCATCCAGGGCCTCTAATGGCAAGGTAAGGAATTCACCCTGGCCTGGCCATCTCTCTCCCCGAGGGCTGCAGTGTCTCTGGCCTCACACTTACAATATTCACAACCCTGTACCCATCAGTAAGCAGACTCCTCAGGTGTTTCTGGAAAGTCCTGGGACAGCACTTCCTCAGACCAGCATAGGTGAGAGCCCTGCCCATGGTTGGGGGACCACCCGGTTAACCACTGCGTCTTCAGAAACCCCTCCAGGGGGCTGGCTTTGACTGGCCTGGATTTGGGCTTCTGTCCTGGGCCTGACCCTCCCCTGGTGGGTCCTTCAGCCACCCAATCTCCACGATCCCCTGCCAAGCTCCTGGGCACCTGGGCCCTTCGGGGACCTTCTCTTATTTCAGGAACAAACTGACAAGCCGACTCCCTGCAGCTCCCCAGAGACCCCTCAATTCCTTACAGACACCAGGCCAACACCCCTTCTGCCCACCCCGGTTGGGACCCTCTCTCAGGCTCCAGGTCCCACCTCCCTCCCGAGGACGCACGCCCACCACCAAAGACCCCTTGGCCGGGGTGGGGGGGGGGCGGCCACAGCTCTTCCTCTCGCTCTTGGGGCCAAACTGCAGGGGGGTGGTCTCCATGCCTCAAGTCCCTGCTGCCTCCGTAACCCTCTATGGCCTGACTTCGCTCCAGGTCAGCTGGGGCCACTGGCGCCACAACTACTCCGCCGCTGAAGTGTGGGCCAGCCCCAGGTTAAGCATTGCCCTCCCACCCACCCATACTGGTTTCCCGAAGCGCTGTAACAAATTACCACAAAGTAATAGGTATTTGTTCTCCACGTTCTGGAGACCGGAAGTCGGAGACCAAGGTGTGGCAGGGGCGTGATCCCTCTGAAGGCTGCAGGGCAGGCGGGGCGGGCGGCGGGGAGCGGATTCTTCCGAACTCTTCCAGCTTGTGGGGGCCCCAGGCATCCCTGGGCTTGAGGCTGCATCACCCCAGCCTCCGCCTCCGTCTTCACACAGCTTCACCCTCTGTGTCTGAGTCTCCTCGTCCTTCTCTTATAAGGACATTAGATTTAGGGCCACCCTAATTCAGGATGATCTCATCTCAAGATTCTTAATTACATCTGCAAAGACCCTTTTTAAAAAATTTTATTTATTTATTTTTGGCTGCGTCGGGTCTTCGTTGCTGTGTGCGGGCTTTCTCTAGTTGCGGCGAGTGGGAGCTGCTCTTCATTGCGGTGCGCGGGCTTCTCATTGCGGTGGCTTCTCTTGTTGCAGAGCATGGGCTCTAGGCACATGGGCTTCAGTAGCTGTGGCACGCGAGCTCAGTAGTTGTGGCTCACAGGCTCTAGAGCACAGGCTCAGTAGCTGTGGCGCGTGGGCTTAGTTGCTCCCCTGCATGTGGGATCTTCCCAGACCAGGGCTCGAACCCGTGTCCCCTGCATTGGCAGGCGGATTCTTAACCACTGCGCCACCAGGGAAGTCCCTGCAAGTATCCTTTTGTAAGCTCCCATCCACAGGTTCCAGGGGTGTATCTTTTGCGGGCCACGAATCAATGCACTCCACCCCCTGAGCCTCATCAGAGCTGGTTGCTTGTACCTAGGCGTATCCCCATTTTTTTGTTGTTTTTGAGCCACACTGTGCGGCATGTGAGATCTTAGTTCCGCGACCAGGGATCAAACCCGTCCCCCTGCAGTGGAAGCGCGGAGTCTCAACCACTGGCCCGCCAGGGAAGTCCCAGGTGTATGCCCATTTTACAGAAGGGGAAATTCCAGCAGAGCTGGGCTGGAACCCTGCGTGTATGTGGCCCTTCCTGAGACCCACCTGTGGCCCTGCAGCCTGGGGCTACTACTCTCAGTTGGAGGATCTGATGTGGCTGTCACTCGCTCGTGGGGTGCCCTGTCCATCTCTGGCTACCTCCTCTCCATCCCTGCTGCCCCATCAGACGCTCCTGTCATCCCAAGCCCCTGGCCTCCTCCTGCAAGCCCTCCAGGCTGCTCTGCTATGCCTTCCTAGCTTTCCTAGCGGGCTGTGTCCCCCAGACCCCTCATTGCCCATTCCTCAAGCCAGCAGCCTGTGGTCACCTGGCCCCTGGAGCAGTCCTGGGCCCCTCCCTGTCACCACACCCCATCCTCCACACACTCCAGCGCTTCCTTCCTCGTCTTTGAACTTTTGTGGCAACTGCCAGCTGACCACGGTCCAACCCATGGTCCCCTGGTCCTCGACTCCAGGCCAATCCCAATCCTGAAGAAATGTGTCCAGCAGCCCCACGGGCCATGGTCCTCTGCTCCCAACTAGGTGACAGGAGGTAGGTGTTAGGAGTCATCCTGGGAGGAAGGTTTGCAGACCTCAGTTTCCCCGTCTGTACAATGTCAGGTGGACCCCGTCCTACTGGAGATGGGGGTCCCACACACACCACGGAGGCGGGCCGATGCCCTAGGAAGTGACCCCCTGGCACCATCCCCTCCACATGGGTCATAGCCGTCCCCATGGCTGGTTGTCCCCTGGGATGTCAGGTCCTGAACCTCAGGAAAAGGGGACCTGGCTGGACCACCTTTCGGTGTAGCCCCGATGCCGACAGCACCTGGCTTGTGGAAAAGCCTGGAATTGGGGTATCCTGAACTCTAACTCTTGTATCTGGAAGACTAGGGGGGAGGGGCTGGATCTGAGCCCTCCCCCCACCCCTCCCCCATGCCCACCAACCCCACACCAGGCCAAGGGCTCACGTGTAGTAAAAAGACTTTATTAAGAAGGCTTTGAAGTCAAAAAATAAAACTCTTGATACAATTTTCTGAACCCTTAGGTCAGCTCAGCAAATATATAATCAGTAATTTAGCTGTGTAAGATTAAAGGTCCGTTACTTTATTTAAAATAAAATATATTTTAGTTTTCTTAAAATTTATTCCATAAAGTACATATTTCCCTATAAATTCCCTACATATACACAAGAGGTAAAAAGTAAAAGTTTAAAAAAACAAAAAAATTAAAAAACGGTCAACAGAAACCACAGCAGAAAGGGATTAATAATTTTAAAAAAAAGAAAGAAAGTTCTGGACGCCCCCTCCCCCGCCCCCCTCCAGCCTGCGCGCGGCTTACATACTAAAGGGTAACCAGTTAGCCCCAAAAAGGGAGCCGTCCTCCTGGAAGTTTCTGCAGAGGTTGCGGCCCTGGGAAAACAAACACTGTCAAATCGATATCAGCTACGTACAAAAGGACAACCGGGAGAGTTGTAAAAATCGTGTTTTTTTTTTTTGCAAGCAGGCCTTTTCTCTCTGGTTTATTTTAACCTGTCGACTCAATACTGTCATTTGTTAAGAACTGAGGTGTCGCTGGGCCGCCGGGTCGCCGTCTCCACGCTTAGGACTGGAGTTAAAGCTCGTCTGTAAACACTGGCCAGCCCGCCACTCACCCCGCCCGCCCCCTCCCCTTCCTCCCCACCCAGACCTGCGCACCCACCCCGCGCCCGTGGACAGCCCTGAGGGCCGCGGGCGCGGCGAGGTGACCGGCTAGGAAAAGATATGAATGGCCTGGGTGGCAGGTGTGCGGCAGGCTGGGCACTCGGGCTCGCTCTTGCCGCAGATGCGGACGGCACAGTCCATGCAGAAGAGGTTGTGGCCGCAGGGCACCAGCGCGGCCATCACCTCACCCTCTGCACACACAACGCACTCCCGCGCCAGGGCCGCGGAGGAGGGGGCGTTGGGGGCCGTGGCCGCCTGGGGCTTGCGGCCGCTCTCCGAGGCGCTTGAGTCCAGCGCGGAGCCCGAGGAGGCCGAAGAGCTTCCGGGCAGCGAGGTGGCCGTGGAGAAGCTGGCGCTGCTCGAGAAGGATGCCAGGGAGCCCTGCGGGGGCCGCCAGGGCAGGGCACCCACTGGGTCGGGCGCAGCGCGGCGGGCCAGTGGGAGCTCCAGGCTCAGGCCGCCGGGCTCAGGCAGCGTGGGCGAGTGTCGCGGTGTGCCAGCCCCACTGCTGCGCCGGGCGCCCGGGGCGGGCGGCGCGGGGGCCCCATTGACGGCCGCGCAGCCGCTGAAGGCGGGCAGGGGCGGGGCCCGCTCAAAAGGCGCCCAGATGGTGGCCGCGGTGGGCACGGTCAGGTCCAGCGCCAGGAAGTCGAAGCCGAAGTCGCAGTCCTCAGGGGCGGGTGGCCCCGCGGGAGCCCCTGGACCGTCCCCACCAAAGGTGAAGCTTCCGTTGCCCGAGGTGCCGTAGGGGCTGGTGGGGTCCGCGTCCGGCACCGGCATGGTCGGCCCCCCTCGGCCGCCCGCATAGAAGGCCTCGGGGACCCCCGGGGTGCCCAGAGCAGCGTCCCCCCGGAGGCTGGCCGTGGGCGCGGGGGGCCGGCGGCCTGGGTTGGGGGCCTTGGCCCAGAGGCCCGCAGCCGCCCCGAGCAGGTCCAGGCAGACGTCGGTGCCGTTGGAGTGGAAGTCGCTGTCGGGGCCGGTGTCAGTGAAGGCGCCCGTGCGCAGCGTGATGTGGGCCTCGATCTCCTCGCGCGCCCGGTCCACGTTCTCGGGCATGCCCGTCACAGCGAACACCGGCTCCTTGTCGCGCCCGGGCGTCACGATGTACGTGTGCGTCCGTTGCTGGATGCGCTTGATGGTGGCGCCCTTGGGGCCCACCACCAGCCCCACCACGCGGTAGGGCACGCGCACCTGGATGGTGGTCTGTCCCGGCAGGTTGGGCGGGCCCTGCGCAGTACCTGGCAGCCCGCCTGCCTTGCTGCGCGTGGCGCGGATCACGGAGAAGTGCTCGGCGGCCGACAGGATCTCACGCTTGGCCATCTCCACGTCCTCCTTGCGGCCGGTCACGATAAAGACCGGCTCCTCCCCACGCACCGGCGTCTTGATGTAAGTGTTTGTCTTGGCACGCAGAGCCTTGATCTTGCACCCTGTGGTGGGGGAAGGGGAGACGCAGTGAGGGCAGGGACCCCTCCCCAGGACAGCCCCTCCTGGGCGGCAGCTGCAGGGGCCAGCTGGTGCGCTGGGTTAGGAGGCCCCACCTTCGGGCTGTGATCTCAGGCACTCGGCGTCCCTCCCTCCAACCTTGGGCGTCAGTGTCCACTCTAGTCCTGCAACCCCCTGCTCTGTAACAGGGGGATTGTCCCAAAGGCAAGGAGGGACCCTGTTTTAGGTTGAAAGGTGTCCCCCCAAATCCATGTCCACCTGGAATGTCAGAATGTGACCTTATTTGGAAATAACGTCTTTGCAGATGTAATTAATTAGGGTGAGGGCATGCTGGATTAGGGCGGCCCTGAATCCAATGACCAGTGTCACTATAGAGGAGGGACATGTAGAGACACAAGAGAAGATGGCCCTGTGAAGACGGAGCCCAGGGTTGGAGTGAGACGGACACAAGCCCAGGAACTCCAAGGCCTGTCAGCACCATCAGAAGCCCGGGGAGAGGCTGGAACAGATTCTCCCCTGGAGCGAGCATGGTCCTGCCCACACCCTGATTTCCACCCTGCAGAACTGTGAGGGTTCATTTCTATAGTTTCAAGCCATCCAGTTCATTGTACCAGACCTAGGACAGTAATGCAGACCCTCTGACACCAACTCCCTGACAGGAGGGGAAACTGAGGCTCGGATTGTGGAAATGGCCTACGACTTCTTCCTGACCATGTGACCCTCCCCCAAGAGCAGATCCTGGGCCCTGTATAAGGACGCCTCCAAAGGCCCTCAGTGGTCCCAGCCTCTGAGGGGAAGCTCGGGGACATGGCCTTGTGGCTTCATCTTTGCTGCCTGGGCTGGGCTAGGCTAGGGGGCTGACCCTGCGGAAGGGGGCCAGGGTGGCCGTGGGGGGAGAGGGTCAGTCGAGCAGGTTCTTTGACTGGGTGCCTCTGCCACCACCTAGGCGGCCCTCCCGAGGTCGACTGGAAGCTGCCCCTGAGACATCTAAACACCAGGCGTGGCCGGCCCGGGGGCCCTGACACCCCCACCCCCACCCCCCCGCCCAGGGTCCTTCTGACACATCTTGAGTCCGGGCCCAGGAGTCTGGGAGGACCCCCCCACCCCCAAGTTCTGGGGACACCAGTGGGACACAGGGATATTGTTTCAGTGCAAACAGAGGGCGGCACTGAGCGGAACAACAGCGTGGCTAACTCCTCAGCGAGAGAAAAGTACAAAGTTAGCGGGACGAGCTGTCTGCCTGCAGCCAAGGAAGTCAGAGACACGGGGCCTGGGCGGGGTGCAGTCTCACCCCCAGCGCAGAGGGCAGCAGCCCCCCATCCATGGCTGAATAAAAGGAGGCCAGCTGAGTGGGGGGTCTGAAATCTCCCAGGGAGACACTGCTTTCCTCCCATCTCCTGGCCTCACCTCTTGGCCCCCAGCCATCCCCACTGCACCCGGCGTCCTCCCCGTCGGTGGCTGCTGACCTGGGCTGCCTCCACTCCTGCCTGGATGGTCTCCTCCCCACTTGGCTGGGGAGGCCCCTCCTGCAGTTGCCCTGCGCCTGACCTTTCCCACCTGTCACGTCATCCTCACTGCTGCACCCCACCATCCTCCCCCTTCTCTGCATCACATCACAGCCCGGCACCCACTCTTCCAGGAAACCCGCCCTGACTATGCTGGGCCAGGCCCCAGCACACACTTCTCAGAGTTTCTCCTCACACCCTAAGTCTGACTTTCTGGACTCCCCGAGGATGGGGGACTGTGCTGTAAGGGCCGGCGGACTGGGATTGCCCTGGGCACTCAAGGGACCGTCCCATGCCTCAGTTTCCTCACCTGCCAAAGGAGGGCAGAAACACACCCAGCCTCACAGGTTTGGGGCAGGACCCGACTGGCCCTAGACTGGAGAGTGGCCCCAGACCAGGGCCTGTCCTCGAGGGGGAGCCTCGGTGGGGAAGGGACCCCTGGGCAGGTCAGGGCTGGGGAAGGACCCTGCAGCTTCCCCCTTGCCGGCCCCCATCCTGCCCTGACCCAGAGAGCAGCCTTGGATAGAGGCCTCAGTGGCCAAGTAGAGCCCAATTAACCATCCAGACTTCAGCTGTGACATCCACTATCCCCGAAACCCCACCCACGCTAAGACCCTGAGAGGTGGCAGAGCTTTGGGGGGCGGAGTGGAACTGCACAAGCCAGGAAATTGGGTTTCCAGGAGTGACCCTGGGGGCTACCACCAACTGGTGGGTACAGCAGAAATGCAGCTTCCCAGGCCCTGCCCCAGGATTCCAACTCAGATAACCGGGGAAGATGGCTGACTGCCCCAGGCCCCAGCAGGCCCCACCCTGTGGCAGCCGGACCCTCCTCAAGAGGGGCAGGGCCAAGGGTCCCCACGGGGAGCCTAGATGCAGGCAGCCCTGCACTGGGCATTCAGGGAACCAGGCCACACGGGCTCTGCCCCAAAGGAGCCCACGTGGGTGACCACAGGCCACACTTATCAAGGGAACCTCAAGGCCGTGTGTGGGGAGCTGAGAGGCCGCCCTGGGAAGGAGGCTGCGTGGCGGGGGAGCACCGCTGGCTAAGGGGACAGCAGGGACAGAGTTCCAGCAGGCCAGGGCTGAGACAAGTCAGCCGGATATACTGCCACTCCCAACACAGCGGGGTGCTGTCCCCAGGGTGAGGCTGAGTCACAGTATGGCGTCTGGGGGCAAAGCTGGCTCACCTGTGAAACGGGGCCAGGGAAAGCCCCGTGCAGGCACGGAAGGGTGTGACCTGCCACCCGGGGGCCCTGTTCTTTCTACGCCCCACAATGGGTAGGTAAGGGCCCCCGACAGGCCTGCAGCGTCCCACAGGGGTGGGGCCCCGCACAAGGGAGAGAACAGCGAGCGAGCGAGGGATGATGGAAGGGACCCTGGCTGGCTGGCAGGTCACCCGCTCCCGGCCGTGAGCCGAGTGTGCTGCAGACCCAGGCCTGGCTCTTAAGACCCAACCCCGGCCACCCCACCCACGGCCATTCTGCCAACTGGGGCAAAGGCAGCAAGGCGGGGGGCGCAGGGGAGGGTCTCAGAAGGAACTGGGCGCCAGCCTCCTGACATTTGATGACCAGCTGGGGTGACAGGCTCTCCACCGGCCCTTCTGAGTTTCCACTTTTCCTGTTTGTGGAAGGGGGCCACCTCCCCACCACCCCCAACCCTGGAGCTGTGGAAGGTGGAAGGTTCTCTCCTGACTCACCCCCGCTCCCTGCATGGCAGGAAGAGCCAGGAGACTAGGGTTCATATCTGGGCCCTGCCGACCAGCTCTGGCGGCACCTCCGCTCCTGCAGCCTCTCCCTCCCCGTCTGTGACCCGAGGCTGCAGGACCCTCTCTGGGGGACACCTCAGGGCAGGTTGAGGCTGCCTCTCAGTGGGTCCAGGGCACCTTCTGGGCCCCTCGGCCTCCGGGAGGAGAGAGCAACGCAGGGGCTATAATCTCCTGCCTGTGCCCAGAAGGTGCATGGACCCATTTCAGGGCTGAGAAAACCGAGGCTCACAGAGCAGCAAGGGGGTGTCCAAGAAAGGGCAAGCCCGGGTCTGTGGCTCTCGTCAGCACAGGAGGTCGGGCAGGTGAACCCCCTGACCCTGCCCTCCAGAGAAGGGGGTGGCCGTGGGCCTGGGGTCAGACAGAAAAGAATAAGTTCAGGGTAGGCCGTGCCCCCTGCCCTAGCGACAGCAGGGCAGTAAGAAGGGACAGGTTCCGTGTCCAGGGACCCACAGGGTGGACAGGGGGGTGGGTAGCCGGAGGAAGGGCACAGAGTCTTCCAGGCTGTGCTTGAGAACTGGTGGCAGAAGCTGGGAGCCACAGATGCTTCTAGGGTGGGGAGACACAAGAGCTGCTGCAGTTGCCAACCTGTCCTGGCATTCATACTCCCCTCCCTGGTGCCCTGCACCCCACTCAGGGGGCGGCTACAGTGTGCCGGCCCGGTGCTGGGATAAGAACCAGCATCTGGCTTGAAAATTCTTATGGCAAAAGGGAGGTGCTCTCCTTCCTGTCACAGAGAGGGGCTCTTGTGCTCGGAGTCACAGGGCCACCCTAGTCTGCAGGGAGAGCTGTCAGGGCCCAGGGACCCCCCAGAGCCTGCCTTGCTGCCTGCCATCTGCAGGAACCCAGGCTGATACCCTGGGTACCGGTGGGTACCAGAGGGACACGCGGTACCAGTGGTCAGTGTGGAGCCTGGCGACCCAGCCACCAGACTGCTCAGCATGTAGGCCAGGGATTGGCGCCCCCTGCTTGCGGCCCACACCCCCGGGGGGCTGACACGCGCATTCACATGGGACTTGTCCTCAGGCTCCACCACCGGGTGGATCAGTCTCATGACCTCGGCTGACAGCCCCCAGCCTTGGTCTCCACAGGCTCCTGGACACTCAGCAGGGAAGCAGCTGTCTTATTACAGGTCCCAGTGAGGTTACTGGGGACAGGGGCGGCAGGGGATGATGTCCTGAATAGGAAGGAGGCAACTGGGTGGCAGAGAGGAAATGTCTGGTCGTGGTCTCGTGGTGCCTGCCGGTAGCCAAGGCCCAGAGAACGGTTTACGGGTCCCCCTCCCCCCGGCTCCCATTCCTAACAGCGGGTCCCCGTGCCCAGCACCATGCCTGGTCCTCCTTGTATCCACACATGGGGAGGACAAATGAATGACTGAATGTACCTGCGCCCGAAGCCAGAGGGCTTGCCACCCCCTGGCCCCACCCACCCAGAACTAGTAGAGAGCGGTGTCCAGGGCATCCCTGTGGTCCTCTGCTCGTGGCAGTTAGGGCGACAGGTCACCTTGAGACTCAAGCCCCCCACACCCTGCTCTAGCTCCTGTTACCGAAGGTCCAGAGGCAGGGACCCCTAGCCCTACCTCAAGCCCCGCCCAGGCCCCACCCCAAGTTCTAGAACCTGGCTGAGCAGCAGGGAGCCCGGAGGTGCGGGCAGGAAGGCAGGAAAGTTGAGGCTGGTGGGCAGGCAGCTAACAGGGTGGGTGGGTGTGTGCTGGGCCGGGCACTGCCCACCACCCTCCAGCCCACCCGCCCCGCAGCTCCAGGGCCAATGAGCGGCCGCCGGCCTGATGTCACCCTGCAAATCTCAGCCTGGCTCTCTAACAAAGAGAACAATGGGGCAGCCACAGGGACACTCCGACAATGCCGCTCCGGGACCCGCACACCCTGGGTCTGCTGCTGGCCACCTGGCCAGGGGAGGGCTGTGGGGCCGGACCCCAAAAGTGGCTTTTACAGGGGGGGGTCCTTGTGCATCCCCCAAATCCCTGACTGGGGGCTGAGAGCCCGGTAGGGATCCTCTCTCATCCTGTTCTGCTCCCCATCCCCAGCAGGATGCCCAGTCTGGCAAGTCTCGATGCACCCTCTTTGTGCCGCCAAACTTATCTCTTGACACTGCCGGAGCGCCCGCGCCCCCAGCCCCAGCGACCCCCCAAACCCGGGCGAATCCACCCCGTGCCAGTTTTGGGTGTGGAGCGGGCACTGCCCAGCCCGGCCCCCTTATCCCCGGGATGCCACCGCTGGTGGCCCAGGGCCCGGGCAGTGATCTGCACGCAGGGGCCTTTCTCGGCTGCAGGCGCCCAGACAAAGGCGGCAGCGGGGCCGGAGCGCCGAGGGGAGGAGCGCGGGCTGCGCCCAACTTTCTCCCGCGGCCAGCGGCAGGACAAAGGCGCACAGGCGGCCACCGAGGCCCGAGCCCACGCGGGGCGTGGCCGGAGTCTGGTGTCCGGCCGCGGACTGGGCTGGGTGGCCCCTCCCGGGGCGAGACGCGAAGGGACCCCCGGGGAGGCGCCCCCGACGGCGGCCACTCACCCTGGCGACCCACGATCTCGGCGACGTGCTCGGAGCTGGGCACGGGCACGCACTCGGTCATGTTCACGCTCTTCTTGCGGCTGCCGATCACGCTCATCTGCTCGGCCAGCAGCGTCGGGGGACCCAGGGCTGCGGGGTGGGGCGCGAAGCCCGCGAACACGTCGGGCGGCGACGGCCGAGGCGGCGGCGGGGGGCTCACGTCGGGCTCCAGCAGCGGCAGCGGGCCGGGGGCCACGGCCACCCCGGGCGCGCCCGCCTCGGGCCC